ATGGTAATCAGCAGGATTGAATTAGATTATAGAAGCATCATAGCCCCCCAAAAAAACCTTGGGTATCCTGGGTGGATAAAACAACTGCATGCATTTTTAGTACTTAAAATGATTCTCAGTTTCTTTTTTTTTTTTTTTTTTTCGTGTCCGGCAACGGATCACAATCCTCAGTGTCGCGCCCGTACCGCAGGATCGGCAACGGGATCGCAACCCTTGGTGTCGCGCCCGCACCTCGCTCAGCCAGTGAGCGGGAACTGGTCTGTATGTGGGATCCGAACCCTCGGCGGGAGCGCCGCCGCGCTCCCAAGTGGCACACTGTAGCAGTGCGCCACCAGGCCGGCCCTCAGTTTCTTAACTTTACATACTAGAAGAAGGTTTTTAAAAAATGTGTGACATAATAAGTCTCACAATTCAGACCATCTAAGGTATCCAAATCCCCAAGAATTATCCCAATATTACCCCTAACCCAGGGTAGAACCATCAAGAAACAATATTCCAGAGGAGGACATAATGAAATTCTCACACAAATGTATACAGGTTGTTAACAACACTTGGGTAAATGTTAATCAAAAACCATAAGGAGGTAATATAGCCTAAAGGTTGAGTGCACAGGTTCTGGGTTCAGATTTCCACAGTTCAAATACTAGTGCTAGCTGAGGGCATCCCCCCACACCCAGAAGGAGGCAAGAGAGGAGGCCAAAAATACCACTTCCATGCAGGTGGCCCACACAGCCACCACCACAACCATAGCTGCCACAAAAGGGGCTTGATGCCACAGCAGTAGCCACAGCCACCATGCAGGTGGCACACCAGACACTTGACTGCATTGACACAAGGAGAGTCACCAGCAGAGTCCAGAAAAAGAAGAGCACATCTCTCTCCTCAAAGTAATAGAAGAAGCAACTGCTCTGCCAGATGACCAGACATTAATGTAATGATATTAGAAATATGAAAACCCATGAAAATATGACACCACCAAAAGAATACAGTAATTCTAAAATATTAGACCCTATAGAGCAGGAAACACTTGAAATGACTGAAAAGGAATTTTGAGCAACAATCTTAAGGAAACTCACTGAGATACAAGAAGCAAAAGGAAATGATTTTAAAAATCCAGGATATGAAGAAGGAAATTTACAAAGAAATGAATACCTTAATGAAAAATATAGCAGAACTCATGGAACTGAAAGATTCACTCAATAAAATCAAAAAACACAACTGATAGCTTAAACAGCAAGCTAGAACAAGCAGAAGAAAGAATTTCTGATTTTGAAAATAGTGTTTTCAAAATAACCCCAGCAGACAAAAAAAGGAAAAAAGAATTTTAAGAAATGAAGAAAATCTAAGAGCTAGCAGACAACATTAAGCACACAAACATCTGAATTGTGGGTGTTCCAGAAGGGAAGGAGAAAGTAGAAGGCATGGAAAATGTATTTCATGAAATAATAATGGAAAACTTCCCATGGAGAGACATGGGCCTTCAGATCCAGGAGGCTCCAAGATCCCCAAACAGATTCAACCCAAAAAGATCCTCTCCAGGACACATTATAGCCAAACTGGCAAAGCTCTAAGACAAAAAGAGAATCTTAAAAGAAGCAAGAGAAAAGCATCAAGTCACCTATAAGGGAGCCCCTATCAGACCAACAGCAAACTTCTCAACAGAAACCCTACATGCCAGAAGAAAATAGGATGATGTATTAAAAATACTAAAAGAAAAAAACTGCCAGCCAAGAATGTTATACCCAGCAAGACTTCAGAAACAAGAGGAAAATAGTATATTTTCCAGACAAACAAAAGCTACAGGAGTTTACCAACAGGTGACCAGCCCTACAAGAAGTCCTCAAGGAAGTCCTGCATCTGGGATCCAAAAAACAATAAACACTACCACAGATACACAAGAAAGAACAAAACCCGCTGATAAAACAAAAATGCAAATGAGAAAGAGAAAAAAACTAAACCATACCACCATAAAAAAACCATAATGACAATGTAACAATGCCCTGCTTTATTTCTGATTTCTGTAATTTCAGTCCTCTCTCTTTTTTTTCTTGGTCAGTCTAGATAAAGATTTAAAAATTTTGTTGATCTTTTTTTAAAGAATCAACTTTTGGTTTTGTTGATTTCCTCTATTGTTTTTTATTTTTTTTTTTTGTCTTTTGTCTTTTTCCGTGTCCGGCAACGGATCGCAACCCTCAGTGTTGCCCCCGCACCGGACCGGGGACCGGCAACGGGATTGCAACCCTCGGTGTCGCTCCTGCGCCTCGCTCAGCCAGTGAGCGGGAACCGGTCTGTATGTGGGATCCGAACCCTCGGGCGGGAGCGCCGCCGCGCTTCCCAAGCGGCGCACTTATCCAGTGCGCCACCGGGCCGGCCCCTCCTCTATTGTTTTTTAACTTCCTATTTCACATATTTCTGTTTTAGTCTTTGTTATTTCCTACATATATTTGCATTTGGTTTAGTTTGCTGTCCTTTTTCTATTTTCTGAAGGTAGAAGTTTACATTACTAATTTGAGATTTTCTTATTTTTAATATAGGTGTTGACAAGTATACATTTTCCTTTAAGCACTTGCATGAGCCCTGCGTCCTATAAATTTTGACATGTCACACTTTGATTTTTATCTCAAAGTACTCTGTAAGCCCTCACCAGATGTGTTCCCTGGACTTTAGAATTCCCAGCTGTCTAATAAATTCCATGTCAAAATAGATTCTATTTCTTTATTTAAAAAAAAAGAAAAAGGAAACAAATGGGATTATATGAAACTAAAAAGCTTCTGCACAGCAAAGAAAACAATCAACAGAGTGAAAAGACAACCTACAGAATGGAAGGAAATACTTGAAAACTATCCATCTAACAAGGGATTAATATCCAGAATATACGAGGAACTCAAACAACTTAGCAGTAAAAAAACAAATAATCTGATTGAAAATTTTGCAAAAAATCCAAATAGACATTTCTCAAAGGAAGACACCCAAGTAGCCAACAGACACATGAAAAAATGCTCAATATCACTGAGCATTAGGGAAATACAAATCAAAACTGCAAAGATATCCTCTCACCCCAGTTAGACTGGCTATTATCAAAAAGGCAGAGAATAACAAATGCTGACAAAGATGCAGAGAAAGAGAAAACCTCCTACACTGTTGGTGGGACTATAAGTTAGTGCAGCCATTATGGAAAACAGTATGGAGGTTCCTCAAACAACTACTGACAGAACTGCCATATGATCCTCCAGTCTCACTGCTGGGTATATACCCAAAGGAATGGAAATCAGCATGTGGAAGGGATACCTGCACTCCCATGTTTATCACAGCACTATTTACAATAGCTAAGAGATGGAACCAATCTCAGAGTCCATTGATGGATGACTTGATAAAGAAAGTGTGGTATACATACACCATGGAATACTATTCTGCCTTAAAAAAAAAAAAAAGAATGAAATTCTGCCATTTGCAGCAACATGGATGAGCTTGGAGATAATTATGTTAGGTAAAATAAGCCAGGTAGTGAAGGAGAAATACTGTATGTCCTCATTCATAAGTGGGAGCTAAAAAAATAAAGTAATACATAAAAGAGAAATAAGGAAATATATAACAATCAAAGGTATACATTGACCTTTTAGAAGAAGAGAACAGAACTGTGATTACTAGAGGAGGGAAAAGGGGAGGATAAGGGGAATTGGTGAGAAATTGGTTAATGAACACAAAGAATGATTACGCTTTGTAATGATAAATATACTAATTATACTAATTTGAGTGTCACACTGCACACACAGGTACTGATATTCAACTCTGTATCTGCATATACATAATCAATTATGATAGAATAAAAAATAAATACACAAAAATAAAACTAAAAAACATTTTTAAAACAAAACAAATACCAGTGCTACCACTTGCTAGCTGTGGGACTTTGAGAAATTTACTTAATCTCTTTGTTTCTTGATTTCCCTATCTGTAAAAACACCGATCATAGTAAGTTTTTTTTTTCATAAGGTGTTTGTGAGAATTAAATAAATTAACATGACTAAATGTTCAGACCCATCCTGGCATTAAATGCTCAGTATGTTATGTTAGTGATCTTGAAGATATTAATGGAATAAGATGTCTAAAATACTCAGCATGTGATGAAACTAGAACTTTAATATGTGGATGGACACACTGAAAATTATGTGTACCTTATGAAAGGTGACTTTTGCAACACACTTAGGAGACACAGAATGTTCATTCCCTTTTACACAATTACCCCATTCTTGGGAACTTTTGCTACAGAAATACCTCAAGGAAAACTAAACAGCTAAGTGTATAATAATGGTAACATTATTTCTAATTTTTAAAATGGAAGTAATCTAAATGTCCTTTTTTCCCATAAAATGGCTGAGTGAATTATAATACATCTACTCTATGAAATAATATTCAATTAAAAATGTTATGAAAAATACATGTAAATGAAAAAAATTCATGCTTAAGCTTTGTAAAGATTGTCTGCAATATGAACAGTGAAAGCATTTGATACACTAGCTGTAGAATTTTATGTTCAGTTTCTATTTGTTTTATGTATTTGCAGTAATATAATTGGTGTAATAGATATAATTTATTTTTTCAAAAAAAATAATAATAACACTACATATTCCCTCCCCCTGGGTTTTTATTTGAAAATTATAGCTATTTAACATATGCACCCTCAACTCGCCCCACCTACATGACAAATTGTCTATGTATCATCTTTTATTATCTTCCCCTTCTCCCCCATATCAGAAGGGAGGATGCTTCCTCCTTTCAAGATCAATTCCATTTATGCACCTTCATGGCGTTCCCTCCCTTCTGCTACAGGCCTCTGTCCATCAGTTACCCTCTTTCAAACTTGGCATGTGGATACTTGCTTTTCTCCGTTCTCTATTAACAGTACTCTGATTTTCCTCCAAGGGACCGTGCCATTTCCCATTCTTAGTCCACGTCCTTCCTTAGGGCTCCGTCTCCAGGCCTAGACCAGTCAGTTAACTCCATCCCCATCAGGAATGGGTTCTTGACTTCAGTCAAGCCAATCCACGCCAAACCAGAGCTAATTCCAGGGCTTTGCTAGGGTGACTAGGTAGAGCCTTCTCTTTTAATGTCAATGAATTTGAATTTGGGAAGATAAGGGGCTGAAGCACTGTAGCTAGATTATTACCACATGGAACCTGAAAATGAAGCCACTATACAGACGAAAGCAGAGTCAAGCTGAGAGGTACGAATGGCATTGATTGAACCCTGAGTCTACCTGTGCCTGAAACCTGAACTATCCCCTTACATCCTTCAGTTATGTAAACTTTGGATTTTTTTTCTGTAAGTTGTAATCAGAAGATTTCCAATGAATATACCTGATGCTCTCTCAGACTGCTCTCCATTTCACAGTCTAATTCTTTAAAAAGTAGAATATTTGTATTGTTTCTAATTCTCATTTTCCACTCATTCCCTCATCTATCTATCTATTCTCGTGAAATTCACCGAGGATCTTGGTTATCCAGAAGCACCATTAACTAATCAACTTCTTTATTCTGGAAAAGACCTCCTCTTTTGGCTTTTAATCCCTCCCCAAGCTCTCCTCTGGCTTCTGTGTCTCCTGCTGCTCTCAAATATGTCTTTACCAAAGTTCTCTTTTTCCCATTCTACCTTTATTCCTTTAGCAATTTCATCCCTACTTCTAGTTCCAGCATAAGTAACTTTGTTTTTTTGTTTGTTTGTTTGTTTGTTTTTACAGCGATATAAATCTTTTATTTGCATTTATGTTTTTCAGGATGTTTATTTTTTTTATTTTTTTTTTTGTTAAATTTTTATTTTGTCAATATACACTGTATATGATTATTA